CACTATGATTACACCAACCACAAGACGTATGCAACATAATCACACCAGACACAAGACGTAAACACCATGATTACATCAAACACAAGACGTATGCAACCTAATTACTACAGACACAAGACGTAGACACAAGACGTATATACCATGATCACACCAGACACAAGACGTAAACACCATGATTACACCAAACCCAAGACGTATGCAACATAATTACACCAGACACAAGACGTATGAACCATAATCACACGAGACACAAGACGTATGAACCATGATTACACCAAACACAAGACATAAACACCATGATTACACCAGACACAAGACGTAAACACCATGATTACACCAGACACAAGACCTATGCAACATAATCACACCAGACACAAGACCTATGAACCATAATCACACCAGACACAAGACGTATGAACCATGATTACACCAAACACAAGACATAAACACCATGATTACACCAGACACTTAAGCATTGAACTGTTTTTGTATGGTATTTATGATCTATTTGAATGACACAGCTTTGCAAGTAAACAACATAATGCGCGCTAGCGCATGATGATTTGTTTGCTTGCAAAGCTGTGTCATTCAAATAAATCATAAATACCATACAAAAACAGTTCAATACTTATATTTACGTTTTTTTGCCTCTTATGATCTTTTTTAACTTTTAATTTATATCTAAAATTAAAAATGCTCGCCTTATCGACAGTCCACACAATTTCTTTCAATAATTTGAACAGCGTATTGTTGCGTGCTGATTGGGAAACAAAGTTACACACACTTCAATTTTATCCACAATTCAGTATCAATACAATTGCGTATGATATGTCTATAGGGTGATTTAAGTTTATCGATAGAACTCTGAGCTGAAAGTTAGGTTTGAAATTGTTTCGATTTTTCCCCGGAACAAATTTCGCGCATGGACAAATACAATGAGCACCGTAGATCCGACCTTGTCCTCCACGAGGGAGTTATTTTTGGAAGTTAATTCGAATTTTTCTCTTTGCTCATTTTGTGAAGAATCCACGCGTGAATGTATTTGTTGATTGTATGGGAACCTGACAACAGTCGGTAGATTATATAACAGTCTCGTTATTTGACATGTCGTCAGAAACTGAGGAACCGTGGATACGAGACGCGTGAAACTGATAGCGTTTGAAGAGAGTGATCTTGCGACGGAGCATAGGTTCGTTACAATTGTCTGAAATGTTTATGTGTGCTGTGACTCATATCATTAGGTCTGTAACATATGTGTCAGTAGGTCTATAGAATATGTGTATCTCAGACATTTGTAACGAACTCCTGTTGATCGGTGCAGTGTAACAGACGATATTTCTGATAAATTGCATGAGCGTTAAAATTGTTTCCATTGCCGGCATTGGTGATTTCAACCGATGTGCATTTTGTACGATATTGCAGACCTTGGTCTTGTTTTCGTTGTAATAAAAAAAAAAAAAAATATTTTATTTTTTATTTTGCACTTAAATTTACAATGACATTGTCAAATCTCACAATGCCCAGCGATATTTCAGCAGCCGTCATGTGTATTTATATTGGATATTGTAGTTCCGGTCAGTGTTGTATTAATACGCTACAAATTGTGTCTCGTGATGCATGGTAATTAAAGTCCCATCAACGACACAGCTTTCAAAAAGGCTATATAGTGACAATGCCATGCGAATGTAAATATAAGACGTATGAACCATGATCACACCAGACACAAGACGTATGCAACATAATCAAACCAGACAAAAGACGTATGCAAGATAATCACACCAGACACAAGACGTAAACACCATGATTACACCAGACACAAGACGTATGAACCATAATCACACCAGACACAAGACGTGTGCACCATGATTACACCAGACACAAGACGTGTGCACCATGATCACACCAGACACAAGACGTAAACACCATGATTACACCAGACACAAGACGTATGAACCATGATCTCACCAGACACAAGACGTAAACACCATGACCACCCGAGACACAAGACGTAAACACCATGATAACAACAGATACAAGACGTATGTACCACGATTACACCAGACACAAGACTTGTGCACCATAATTGCACAAGCCACAAGTCGTGTATATCTTGATATCACTAGAAACAAGACGTGTGTATGTTGATCACACTAGAAACAAGACGTGTGTATGTTGATCACACTAGAAACAAGAGACATGTATCATGATGACGCCAAGTATAACATGGTGATCCGTCTCTGACCACACATCTTATACTGCAATACTTAATATAGTGAAGTCATACTGTAATTTATTTATATTTTAAATCTAACATAATTTTCTCCAGAAATTCTAAACAAAAAAAAACATACAGAAGAAAACATGGAATAACGTCTTATATGTATACTCAAAGTCCCGCTCTGGTTCCCCAATCCCCTTTGCTCCGGCCCTCGATCCACTCACGGCCTGCCCCTCCCCTGCCCCCTCCCCTGCCCCCTTTCTGGGCCTCCTGTGCAATCCATTGGGGGTGACGGTCTGGTTTATTTCGAACAGAATTTCTCGTTATTTAGAAAGAAACCTCAAAAGGATAGCGGATTTTACATTTTCTACAAATAACTAATCTCGAGTTGTTTGCTCACGTCATCGCAATTCAAACCAAACTCTCACGCAATACGTGAGTTTTAAACCGAAAATAATAATAAAAAATATTCTAATGTATTTTTTTCCCATTTGATATTATCAAACGGAAATGTTTTGAATGCAATTTTGTCCCTTTTTTCTCCTTCCAATTCAAAATGTTTGTGACAGGAATTTCTTTTTGTTCATTTATTTAATTCAGATGACATTCGACGCCCGGTTTCAAGAGGAATCAAGTCCGAATCACAAATGCGGATATCTGTTAAGTTGAACTTGAGCCTCTTTAATCTGGTTCGTGAGATGATTGTCAGAAATAGTGACAACATCAACAGCAACCACTGAAGAGGAGCCAGAAGGGACGCGACACAAAACATCACAACAGGAGCTAGTAGTCACACGACACAAAACATCATAACAGGAGCTAGTAGTCACACGACACAAAACATCATAACAGGAGCTAGTAGTCACACGACACAAAACATCATAACAGGAGCTAGTAGTCACACGACACAAAACATCATAACAGGAACTAGTAGTCACACAACACACAACACCACAACAGGAGCTAGTAGTCACACGACACAAAACACCACAACAGGAACTAGTAGTCACACAACACAAAACATCACAACAGGACCTAGTAGTCACACAACACACAACATCACAACAGGAACTAGTAGACACACGACACAAAACATTACAACAGGAGCTAGTAGTAACACGACACAAAACACCACAACAGGGGCTAGTAGTCACACGACCCAAAACACCACAACAGGAGCTTGTAGGCACACGACACAAAACACCATAACAGGAACTAGTAGTCACAGGACACACAACATCATAACAGGAGCCAGTAGTCCCACGACACAAAACATCACACCAGGAGCTTGTAGTCACACGACACACACCACCACAACAGGAACTAGTAGACACACGACACAAAACATAACAACAGGAGCTAGTAGTAACACGACACAAAACACCATAACAGGAGCTAGTAGCCACACGACACACTGCACACAACAGGAACTAGTAGTCACACGACACACAACAGCACAACAGGAGCTAGTAGTAACACGACACAAAACACCATAACAGGAACTAGTAGTCACAGGACACAAAACATCACAACGGGAGCTTGTAGTCACACGACACACAACATCACAACCGGAGCTTGTAGTCACACGACACAAAACATCACAACAGGAACTAGTAGTCACACGACACAAAACATCACAACAGGAACTAGTAGTCACACGACACAAAACACCACAACAGGAGCTAGTAGTCACACGACACAAAACATCATAACAGGAGCTAGTAGTCACACGACACAAAACATCATAACAGGAGGTAGTAGTCACACGACACAAAACATCACAACAGGAGTTTGTTGTCACACGACACACACCACCACAACTGAAACTAGTAGTCCCACGACAAACAACACAACATGAGCTAGTAGTCGCACGACACACAGCACGACACCAGGAGCTAGAAGTCACACGACACACAACACCACAACAGGAGCTTGTTGTCACACGACACACACCACCACAACTGAAACTAGTAGTCCCACGACAAACAACACAACATGAGCTAGTAGTCACACGACAAACAACACAACATGAGCTAGAAGTCGCACGACGCACAGCACCACAACAGGAGCTAGTAGTCACACGACACACAACAACACAACAGGAGCTTGTGGTCACACGACACACAACACCACAACAAGAAATAGTAGTCCCACGGCTAACAACACAATATGAGCTAGTAGTCGCACGACACACAGCACCACAGCAGGAGCTAGTAGTCGCACGACACACAGCACCACAACAGGAGCTAGAAGTCACACGACACACAACACCACAACAGGAGCTTGTTGTCACACGACACACACCACCACAACAGGAGCTAGTAGTCCCACGACAAACAACACAACATGAGCTAGTAGTCACACGACAAACAACACACCATGAGCTAGTAGTCAAACGACATACAAAACCACGACAAGAACTAGAAGTCACACGACATTACAAGGAGCTAGTTGTCACACAACATAAAACACAACAACAAAAGCTAGTAGTCAAACGACATATAACACCACAACATGAGCTAGTAGTCACACGACACACTGCACCAATGTGGGACTTAGTAGTCACACGATACACAGCATCACAAAAGCAGCTTATAGTCACACGACAACCATATAGCAGTCGCTAATGGTAACAAGGCCAACAACAACCATAGAGCAGTCCCTAATGGTAACAAGGCCAACAACAGCCATAGAGCAGTTACTAATGGTAACAAGGCCAACAACAACAATAGAGCAGTAGCTAATGGTAACAAGGCCAACAACGACAATAGAGCAGTAACTAATGGTAACAGCTAATGGTAACAAGGCCAACAACGACAATAGAGCAGTAACTACTGGTAACAAGGCCAACAACAACAATAGAGCAGTAACTACTGGTAACAAGGCCAACAACAACAATAGATCAGTCGCTAATGGTAACAAGGCCAACAACAACCATAGAGCAGTCCCTACTGGTAACAAGGCCAACAACAGCCATAGAGCAGTTACTAATGGCAACAAGGCCAACAACAACAATAGAGCAGTAGCTGATGGTAAAAAGGCCAACAACAACAATGGAGCAGTAGCTAATGGTAACAAGGCGAGCAACAACAATAGAGCAGTAGCTAATGGTAAAAAGGCCAACAACAACAATAGAGCAGTAGCTACTGGTAACAAGGCCAACAACAACAATAGATCAGTAGCTAATGGTAACAAGGCCAACAACAAGCATATAGCAGTAGCTAATGGTAACAAGGCCAACAACAAGCATATAGCAGTCCCTAATGGTAACAAGGCCAACAACAGCCATAGAGCAGTAACTAATGGTAACAAGGCCAACAACAACCATAGAGCAGGAGCTAATGGTAACAAGGCCAACAACAACAATAGATCAGTCGCTAATGGTAACAAGGCCAACAACAACCATATAGCAGTCCCTAATGGTAACAAGGCCAACAACAAGCATATAGCAGTAGCTAATGGTAACAAGGCCAACAACAACCAAAGAGCAGTCCCTAATGGTAACAAGGCCAACAACAACCATAGAGCAGTAACTAATGGTAACAAGGCCAACAACAAGCATATAGCAGTAGCTAATGGTAACAAGGCCAACAACAAGCATATAGCAGTCCCTAATGGTAACAAGGCCAACAACAAGCATATAGCAGTAGCTAATGGTAACAAGGCCAACAACAACCATAGAGCAGTAACTAATGGTAACAAGGCCAACAACAAGCATATAGCAGTCCCTAATGGTAACAAGGCCAACAACAACCATAGAGCAGTCCCTAATGGTAACATGGCCAACAACAGCCATAGAGCAGTTACTAATGGTAACAAGGCCAACAACAACAATAGATCAGTCGCTAATGGTAACAAGGCCAACAACAACCATAGAGCAGTAGCTAATGGTAACAAGGCAAACAACAACCAAAGAGCAGTAGCTAATGGTAACAAGGCCAACAACGACAATAGAGCAGTAACTACTGGTAACAAGGCCAACAACAACAATAGAGCAGTAACTAATGGTAACAAGGCCGACAACAACAATAGATCAGTAGCTAATGGTAACAAGGCGAGCAACAACCATAGAGCAGTAGCTAATGGTAACAAGGCCAACAACAACAAGAGAGCAGTAGCTAATGGTAACAAGGCCAACAACAGCAATAGAGCAGTAGCTAATGGTAACAAGGCCAAAAACAACAATAGAGCAGTAGCTAATGGTAACAAGTCCAACACCAACAATAGAGCAGTAACTAATGGTAACAAGGCCGACAACAACAATAGATCAGTAGCTAATGGTAACAAGGCGAGCAACAACCATAGAGCAGTAGCTAATGGTAACAAGGTCAACAACAACCATAGAGCAGTAACTAATGGTAACAAGGCCAACAACAACCATAGACCAGTAGCTAATGGTAACAAGGCCAACAACAACAACAATAGAGCAGTAGCTAATGGTAACAAGGCGAGCAACAACAATAGAGGAGTAACTAATGGTAACAAGGCCAACAACAACAATAGATCAGTAGCTAATGGTAACAAGGCGAGCAACAACAATAGAGCAGTAGCTGATGGTAAAAAGGCCAACAACAACAATAGAGCAGTAGCTAATGGTAACAAGGCGAGCAACAACAATAGAGCAGTAACTAATGGTAACAAGGCCAACAACAACAATAGAGCAGTAACTAATGGTAACAAGGCCAACAAC